CATGAGAGTATGGGAGAGGGGTAGGTGGTGGGATAGACACTCGGAGGATCTCTTGTGCACTATTGGCATTACCGCAGGAGAGGCGAAAAGCATTGCTTGAACGTAGAGGTGATAAATCTTGCAGAAAGAATCTTCTGAATGCCCCCTCCAAGGTTTTTAGCACTGGATAAGCTTTTGGAACTTTGCATGTATCATTCTACAATGACAGTCAAGAATTCCAGGTTCACCTGTCGCGCTGTTGACTCGCGGCGACCGTTTCTGCTGTACAGTGACCGTCACACGTTGATGTACCTTCCATCGGACTCCCCTCGTGCCACACCCCTTCTGCCACAACTGGAAAACGCTGTGTCGTTTGACTATTTGTACCATGTGAACGGCACGATATCGATTTTCTGGGCGGATGTCACGTTGGACGCGATATTTCGCGTGGAAGTGGACGGAAAAAGTGAGCTTGTTATCGATTTTTTTGCGTTTATTCAGTTCGCAATTTTACCTTGATAACCAGAGCGCAAAGCTTATTGGGAGGGAGCCAGCGGGATAGGGGTATAGGACAAGACAATCGTAATATGCCGCGCTGGACGTGGTGTGTGACGCCGCGCACGCGAGAGACGAGTTGTCCTGGCCGGCCCTTGGATTGGAACGTAAAGAGACGGGAAAGTTCGATATCATTTTTGAGAGTGTCTTACTCCCGCTTCAATCTTTATGAGATTGGTAGCTACAGTCGAGAAACTGGCGCAGATCGAGAATTTGCCGCATTTCGCTGCACGACGCGCCGCGCGCGACGACGCGGCATTACAAAAGCCTTACCCATCTCCTTTGAAATGAGGCTACGCGTGTTCTCTGCACGTCCACGCCTTCATCGATGTCTGCGGATTTTACCGAACACTATCTCGTTGATAGGGCGCAGACGAGAGAAGGTAGCCCGACTGACCCCCCCCGCTTTCAGTTATAGTAAAACGTTCAATTGCTAAATGTAACAACTGAGAAATTTTCAGCCGCTTCACAACCGCGTGCCATCGTCTCGACAGGCCTTTCAACTGTTGAAGGAATCGCCGTCGATTGGATCACCGAAGTAATTTATTGGACGGATAGCCATCACGATCATATTCAGGTGAACATTTATCCCTATTGGGCATTTGGGCGTGGCCTGATCCCGCCTACTCAGTAGGCGAGACGGGGCCGCGCTCACCCTCTGCTCGTCTGGACCCTCACACGTTTCCTGTGGAGCCTTGTCAAACACTATCTTGCTAGGGAAGCGCAGACGAGCAGCATAGGAGTATAGTCAGCCAAGCCATTGAGTGGTCCCATTCAACTACGCGAGCTGCGTCACTTGATACCCTAACCAGGATTACTCTTAGTACGCAGTCGGTTTCTATAAGCTCATGTACCGCTTCTTTCGCCTAGGGGGTGCATAATCCCAAGGAAATAGTCCAGCGGTATTGTACTTGAGCACCGCCCCCATCTGAAAACTTGATGGTGGAGTTGGTTCAAAGTGCAATAGACGGTGGTCGTGGCATGGGAGACGGGCAAGAGGATCGTCATTTGCCGCTCCGCCGCGCGCAGCGATCGGCGCGGCGTTTTCTTAACTCGTGTTAACCTGTCGACTGGAGCACCGGACTTCATGTAGACCCCGTCATCATAGACATTCATGACTATTTTCGGCTCTGAACTGCCCGTTGTCGCCATCTACGACCTGGAATTATCGTCATTTGCGGGCGCGACGTCGCACGCGACGCTCATCAGCGCGGCGAATTACGATCCTCTTGTCACATATCCCGTGGGCATGGCATGGACGGATATAACCAATCTGTACGCTTTCCTCAGCGGCGCGCAAACTATTCACCTTTCCTGCTCTGTCCTCGCACGTATGACGATCAAGACTGTTCCTCTAGACATTTGCTTCTTATGAACAGTTGAGAGAAGAGCGGCTGCCACAAGTTGAGAGTAGTGTAAAAGCAACAACGAGTCAACTGATACCCGCTATACATGGCAGATAAGCGCCCGGTCGCGGTGCGGTTGCTTCGCTCTTGCTTGAAATTATGTGTTCACTCACTTACAGGTCGCAAAAATTGATGGTTCAATGAGATCAACTGTGGTGAAAGGTGGCATACACAACCCAAGAGATATTGCAGTTGACCCCAGGTGGGCATATATTACTTTGGCATTTTCCTATTTCAATAGCTTGCACTTGTTTTTCTGAAAATTCTCATCGCTAATCATATTTTTCCAGAAATTTTCAAAACTGCGTAGTAATTTTTTAGCCGTGGCCTGATGTTCTGGACTGATTGGCAGGACGAAAATCCACGAATTGAACGGGCAACAATGGCTGGGAAAAATCGTATCGTAATCTTCAAGGTGCATGGAAATTTTCAGTGTTTTTTTCGACTTTTGCATAGTCCGCAGCAAATATTGCGCAGTTCATGGAGTTGCTGAACTTTCTTTTTGAACTCCGCAGATAACGCATCAGTCTCAGCTTATGAATTTTTTAATGATATTTCTTAAATCATAGGGGAGTTGACAAATACTCGAGAGTTCGGTTGTTTTCATCATTTTTGGTTTGATGGTATGGTCCTTATCGGAGAGGAGGAAGCGGCGTGGCGTATTCCAGTGTCGCCTCTCTTCTCCTATACATACGTCTCAGCCTTTCTTCCGTATGACCCCTGGTCTCACTCGCAGCTACTTCTCCTACTACTCTCAGATATAGGACTAAAGTGGGATAAAGGATTGCAGTGAGCATGGATTATAAGTCCAGAATATCGGGGGGGGGGGTCAGTATCCTAAACCACGCGTAGAAATGAGTGCGTATGATTAGCGAGTGCACACCGTTTTTTGCTTAGGTAGCACCTCGCTATAGACGGAGAGGAGGATTAGCGATTAGCTCTCGCTTCCTGAGTGCGTTCAGGGGGCCAACACATTTAATTTCACGCCCAACTTTCGGGGGTACTGTATACAGACTGC